GCCGAAGTTCTGGGAGCTCCAGTCCTCGCCTGGGGTGGGCAGGGAGGTGAGGGGCCTTACCTTTAGTGTCCAGTTCAGTCAGTGGCCCCATGAGGCCTTTCTTCTTGTCAGCCACGGCTGCTGCCCGGGCTCCATCCTTCTGTTCCTCCAGCAGGTCCTCCTGCGCCCAGCGTTGGGAGTAGTGCTTCCCCAGGGGCGGGATCTGTAGGAGAGATCCCATCGGCTCAAAGAGTAAACATAGGCTTTTCATTCTTTCCTTCCTTCATTCTCTTCTTTGCCTCCCAAGTACCTAGCCCAGGGCCAAACACTGTGCCTGGCGAAAGTGAGAAGAGACAAAGGAGATGAAATCTCTACATTCACAGTTTAGAAAGGGAGACAGGTATATAGGGAACTAAAACACACGTAGAAGCCAAAATGGAGCCATTTCCAAGATACAAGGTACAGAATATTGTGTATATGCGGACCATCTTGGGTCACAGCTCTTGTCTCTAGAGGCTTTAGGGTCAGGAGAGAGGATTCTCTTTTGTATTGCTTGAATTTATTACTACCTGTATGGATTCCTTTTTAAAATAAATTTTTAAAAAATTCAGTGACGCGACAGAGGTAGACCAAGGTCTTCTGGCAGCACAAAAGAGAGACTAGCTTTCTGCTGGGGAATCTGCAAAGGCGTTTTGGTGGAGGTAACATGAGATCAGAGCCTTGAAGGGTGGGTCAGTTTGCCAAGGGGAGAGGAGCACATGAAGAGGCCCAGAGACCAGCAAGGACCCTGCGTGGCCCTGGAGTGAGGACAAGGTGCTTGGTGGAGGCTGGTAAAGGCAGCAGTGAAGAGGGGGCGTGGCCAAAGAAACTGGAGAGGGTGCTGGGGCTGTGCCACCAAGAACTGAGATGCTTGGACTGGATCCTGTGGGTAACGGGAGCCAAGAGAGGCCTGGGAGCAGGGAGGGCTGTGTCACATCTGAGCCTGGCAGCGGGCCTATGGGACAGTTCTCCCCAACGCTCTTCTGTATTTTCTACATTTTCTTTAATAGAACCGGTTTTATTTTCATTCTAAGAAAATAAACTTTTACATATTAAAGAAAGAAAAAGAAAGGCCCTTTTGGAGGCAGGAAAGCATTAAGAGGCTGTTTGGGTGAAAGCTGATGAAGTCTTAAACTAAAGGGGATGGAGATGTGGGGTAAAGGGAGGACCTCACTGAAGTTGAGGCCTTAGGATGTGGTGACCATTTGGATGGGGCAGAAAGGAGATAATACAAAGGGAAAGCTGAGAGTTAGAGACTGGATATCTGGGTGGGTTAATGGGGCAGACAGGAGTCTGGACAGGGTAGGGGAAGAAAGATGATATGTGGCTTTGGGATCTTTGATTCTGAGGCACCTCTGAGCCCTCTTGTTCTCCATCATGTCTATCGCGGCTCAGGGTTTCTACCTTGTAATGTTCAGCCTCGTCTTCTGGGGGTTTCAGTAGCTCCTCTAGAGTGCGTACCTCCTCACTGGTGATATCGGCACAGTAGGGCTCCACTGAAGCCCAGAACCTGCAGGGAGAAGCAGATCCTAAGTGGGCACTCCATGCCCCACCAGCCTCGGCCCTGGGCCCCTCCACAGTCTCCACTGCCCGAATCCCAAGGCCCCTCTATGTTTTATAGCTCAGGACCTGTTCGGGGCATCATTTTTGGGGATCCGAGGCACGTCAATTGGGTCATCAGTGAATTCATATTCCTGGATCTTGGGCTGAAGGTTTTTGGATTTGGGGCGTCCGGGGCCAGGGCCTGGCCCGTGCCCTGCTTTCCCTTCCAATTTCTGCTTCTTGGGCTTTCCATGTTTGGGGGGAGCCCCAAGCTCATGGTCTCGACCCAGCTTCAGGAATCGTCGGTCACCTTTCTTATCCTGCCAGTCAGTGAGGATCTGAAATTCAGAGACTGTCAATGAGGGGGAGAAGGGAAGACAGAGGACAACTCTTTTCCCCAGTGAAGAATCAGGATCTAGAACTTGAGGGGGCGCTAAGGTTTTTCCCCATCCCCTTTTTATTTAGCAGACTCCTACTCATCCTTCAAAACTCAGCTGTGCCCATCTCACAGGATTTTATTCATATACTTCTCATCATTCCATTCTTTTGTCTGTATTCTGATTCACATCTGTAGTGCTTAGTAGAAAGGCCAAACAAGTGATCACACCCCAGTGCATGCTAGCTCTGGGAAAATATGCCGGTGGGAACTTTTTGGTGAAGGCAAGCAAGACTCCCAGCAAGCCTTCACTTTGAATGTCACACTTCTTGGCATCAGCTGCCCAGCTTCTTAGGTGCTAAAATACAACTGGTTGTGCCACAACCCTCCTCAAAAAGCGTCCGTGGATTCTCGGGACCATGAGTTAACTCTATTCATCCAGTTGAAATGGCATCTTCTTCCTCTATGAGTCTCTGGCACTTTGCACCTTCACTGTAGGCACAAACATCTTGTTTGGTCATATTAAAATGCACAGCATACCTTACCTTTTCAACTAGATTATAAACTACCGGAGACCAGGAATTTTATCTTAACCGGTTGCTCCCCAGGATCTGGCATAGCACCTGGCACACAGGCCTCAGGGGATGTTTATGCAGTGAAGAGATAATCATAGCAGTGCCAATAATTAACATTTGAAATGCTGACTTAGTGTCAGAAATTAGGCTCAGCCTTTGCAAAATAAATAAATAAATAAATAAGTCTCTCTTAATTCTCACAAAAGCTCTTTGGTACGTTCTATTACTCAGCCCAGTTTGCAGATAGGGAAATGATATTCAGAAATAGGAGGTAATTTTCCCAAAGTCATATAGCTAGGAAACAGCAACACTAACAAGTGCTCAGTCCCGGATTCAAAACCAGGTCTCCTCATTCCAGCTCCCCTCGTACCCCTAACCATAACTTATCAGCTGGTACTAGTCTAACCATGCCCCCCCCCCACCCCTTTTAGTTAGCAAACTCCCTGAAGGTGAGAATTGTCCTAATTACCTTTCTCTAATGACTTGCAGAGGACCCAGAACATAATGGGTGGGTTGGTGGGGGTCAATAAGTGCTTAGAAGTCTTGCAGTTTATAAGGATCACACACGTTCTTGCTTATTTTGTGTCCCAAGAGCTCAATTTGGGTCTCCCCCCGCCACCACAACCCCCATGCTTTAGCAGATGGGGCTAACTCAACGACCCATCCCATAGCTTATCACACAGTCCATCCCTGGTGATATCCCTTCTGTAGGGTATCACCTGCGTTTCGGCCTCCAGCACCCGCAGGCGCCGGCTGGCAGAGGAAAGCAGGGTTTCAAGCTCTAGCTGCAGAGTGTCCAACTCCTCAATGCCGATGCCATCATCCTCGGAGCGGGCCAGCACTGCCGTGTAGCGTGGACAGACCTTTAGGTGGTCCACAGACTTGAAGTCGTGGAACTGCAAGGGGCAGTCCTTCAGCTCACTCATGGCCCAGGACACTTTGTGGAGCTGGAGAGCAGAGGGACACTGATGGGAGATCAAGTGGCACAAGGAAAGCCCAAGGGTTCCCTCCATCCAGGAACAGCCTCAAGAAGCCAGATTCAGTACCCTATTGACAAGGTTCATTAACACAGCTCCTACTCAGAGACCACCTACTGTGCACCTAGTGAGGTGCAGACATTTTAGCAGGTTTTCATTTAATTCCTCACCCAACTCTGTGAGCAGGGACCATGGTGATCTCCATTTTACAGATAAGGAAACTGAGACTCTGTAAGGGTGGGTACATGCCCAAGCTTACCAAGACTTTGAATCCAAGTAGCTCTGAGTCTGTGCACCTCGCTACCATGATATAAGATGCCATGTCTTCCTGATGCTCTTTCCTTTTGTGCCACTCCTCCTGAGTTCTGCTAAGCCTCTGAGTTCCAAACATCCCATTCTCACAATGTTAAGCGTTCGTTGTACCTCCCTGCTTAACCTTGTGTCACTCCTTCCCACCTTTGCTGGTTATTTTTGCCCGACAGTGGTTAAAAGTGTGTAGGTATGGTAAGCCAGACATACCTGGGTCCAAGCCCAAGCTTTACCCTTCTCTATTTATGTGGCCCTGAATATGTCATTTAACCTTCCTAAGTCTCAGTTTTCCATCTGCAAAATGGGGACAAAAAAGTGTGGGTCTGTTTCCCCATAAGAAGTCTGAATCTGTAAAATGGGGATAACAATGGTACCTACCTCCCCGGGATGTTCTGAGGATTAAGAGATGATGCTCGTCAAGAGCCCAGTTCAGTGCCTGGCACACAAGAAGTTGGACTGCTTAATGGCTGGCTCCAACCGTGGGTCGCCCCAATGCCCTGCCTTCAGGGTCCTCGTCCACTCGAGACCCCCTAACACGGCTCCCGCCCCCTCTACCTCCACACTCCGGCCTCCTACGGCCCCCGGGCCGCAAGAGGGGGTGGGGAGTTCCGGTTGGTCGGATCTACCGCTCGGAACTGATATGGGCGGGCCACCTGCAGTCGACGCGGGGGCGGAGAAACGCGAGGGAGAGCCCACTGTGCCTTGCGGGGGAAGGTTTGCGGGCCGCGAGCTAGCCCACTGCTATTGGGGTGGGGGTTATGCCTCAGGGGTACCCTAGGGAACAGCCCAGGGCTGGAGGGCGGGGCTCGGCAGCCGGATTTTCGGTCAGGCAGTTAGTCCTGCCGAGCCCCTGAGGCAGCCGGTAGGAGGGGCCCGGAGAAAGGATGGGGGCGCAGAACAGGAAGGAACGAAGCGCTCCTCCGCCTCGCCTTGTCCAAATATGGTGCCCAACCTTCGGCCGAGCTGCACCATTGCATGACTATGGGGAAAGAAAGCGGCAAATAGGACACGAAAGCCAAAGTCCCAAGTGAGAGCTGCATGGATAACGGGAGAAGCTTGAGTGCCGATTGGAAACTGCAGGGGTCTAAAGATGCCAAGACAGTCCTAGCGGGAAAACTTCTAAGGGACCAGGTGTTCCGAGGCTCTCCTTACCCCGCTCGGAGCATAGATGGTACTGTCCGGAAGTCCGGGCGGAGACTGCGGCTGCGCTGCTCGCGAAAGGGCAGGCGTCGCGGGCCTGGCCACTTCCGCACTTCCGCTTTCCGGCCCAGCCAGCGCCCGCGATGGTGAGACAGCCGGGCCCCGGGCCAGGGACCCCCGTCTTCCCATTCTGCCTCAAAGTTGTGGGTTTGGGGGAGATGCGGCTTTGCAGCAGAGGCCCGGGGTCGAGGGATGCTTGGGGTTTGGGGACACGATGAAGCTGGGAGAAAGAGGGCGGGGTGGGGGCCGAAGTGAGGAAGGGGCGAGCGGGGGACGCCCTCGTAAGAAGCAGGCCTGCTGACTTCACGGTCTGGCTTTCGGGACAGGTAGGGAATACTCCTGAGGTATGGAGGAAGCCGGAAGTAGGACCTCCTAGGCTTGTAGTAGGGCGCAGGTACTAGAACTATCTCCCCACCCAGAAATGAACTTCACTAAATACACTGCCCTGTTTTTTCCTGCCCGCCAGACGCCACAGTTTCCCAAGGGAAGCGTCTACACTTCCATATCCCACTCTCCTCCTTTCCCCCTGCCTTGATTCTGCCGTACTGAAGGATTTCTTATGCTGCCTCCACCCAAGCCCCTTCCTGGTCAGAGCACAGGCGTTGTTGCCTTAGTATGTAAGATCTGATACTGTGGATCTCTCCTTCCCTGGAAATCCTCCCGTTTGATAAATGTGGACATTCCTGGGGGTTGAATGATACCTATCTAGTCTCCTGGCTTTGATGATCTCGTGTATTCAGATGTCTCCTAAAGTTTGCCTGGCTATCTTGAAGACACCTTGACATTAGACCTCCAGATCAAAACCCCTCATTTCTCCTAAACTTGTTCTTCCTTCTTTGTTTCTTAAGTTGGCCATACCTCTTGGTTTTTAAAAAATCAAGTTTATTGAAGTATTGCATGAGACTGTTTTATTTGTGAAAGGGCAGGTGTCATGGGGCTGGCCACTAAAATTGACCTTTTTCAGGTTTACCACCTGTGAATTTTGACAAATGCAATCACGTAGCCACTACTACAATCAAGGGGACAGAACATGTCCATCACCTCAAAATGTTCCCTCAAGTCCCTTTGTCATCAGGCCGCCTCTCCTCTTTCCCCCACCCCAGGCAACCACTGATTCCACACACACGCCCATAATTTTGCCTTTTCCAGATTGTAATATAAATGGAATTGTCAGCCTGTAGGCTTTTTAATGTGGCTTCTTAACCATATGCATTTGAGATTCATCCATGTTGTGTCAGTAGTTATTCCTTTTCATTGCTGAGTAGTATTTCATTGTATCGATGAACCATAGTTTGTTGGGAGGTGTTTTTATTCCATGATTATCTACATCTTGTGTTACAGTCTAACCGCTGTGATACTCTGCTTTCTTCTCCATGGCCCCAATCCAGGCTCTCATCAGCACTCTTTGAATAACTCTCTCTACCTTATGTTTCACTTCCCTCTCCAATCCATTCTCTCCAGAGCCAACATGCAGCTGTGGTCCTGTAACTTCCCCCTCAGAAAGCCCCAGGAGTTCCTTACCACCTTAAAAGAAAAGCTAAACTCAGTAGTCTGGCATTTGAGATCCCCCATGAACCTCCAGGCTACCACTGCAGCCTCATCTACTAAATGTAAAATATTTCTCATACAGCAACATTGTACTAATTACTACTTCTGGAGCTCTCGATGCTCTTTTGTGTTAATCCTAACCTTGCGTAAGTTATTACTTTCATTCATTCATTTGTTCTACAGAAAATGAAGAAGACACTATATATGTTAGGTACTAACTGAGCTAGGTGCAGGAGATGTAGATTTGAATAAAATAGACGTGGTCTATTGACCATGAGGCCTGCAGTCTAATGAAAGAGAAATCATTTTACTAAAGATGTATGAAGGATGTGTCATTGTAAATTATAATAAATGCTGTGAAGGGGAAGTCAAGAAAGACTTCTCTGAGGAAGGAAGAGGCCTTCCCCGTATAAGCCGAGATCTGAAGGATGACTTAGGCGAAGAGAGGGTAGAAAAGCCTGCAGATGGATGGTTCAGCATATGTGAAACTTGGAGGTGAAAAAGGCTAATATAAAGAAACGAAGATGAGTTAGTGTAGCTAGAAGCTGATCCTTCTAGTGGGAGTGCCCTTATTTTTTTTTCTCATTCTAAAATTCTCCTAATCCTATTTCCATCTTCAAATCAAAGCCAATTGCTTCTGCAAATATAACTTGTAAATCTAATTCAGTTATCCTATTTTGTATCATAGTTAGTCTGTCCCCTCATTGAGCTATTTAAGGATAGAGATGGTCTTAATCATCATTGAATTCCCAGCATCTAGCTCAGTGCCTGGCACATAGTAGATTTAATCCATTTGTTGGCTCAAAAGACAGATTGAGGACAATCATTCATTTACCTGTATGCCTCTAGACCGGAGTTTCTCAACCTCAGCACTATTTGGGGCTGAATAATTCTTTGTAGGCTTGGTAGAATTTTCAGCGGTTTGCCCAGCCTCTTTGTATTTAATGCCAGTAGCACCCCTACCCCAAGTCATGTCAGTGAAAAATATTTTAACGATGCCGAATGTCCCCTGGCAGGTAAAATGGTCCCCTGTTGAGAACCACTGCTCCAGACTTAGAATAGAATGCACCTTGAAGGCATAGACTGTTCTTTGGTGTCTGAGAACCCAGCACCGTCAGTACTGCCTGGCTTCTGTGTAGCTGGAGCAGGGGGCCAGTGGTTTTGTTGAGACAGAGTCTGATCCTCCTTTGGGGTTTTTCCTACAGACTGCCACTCTCCGCCCCTACCTGAGTGCCGTGCGGGCCACACTGCAGGCTGCCCTCTGCCTGGAGAATTTCTCCTCCCAGGTCGTGGAACGACACAACAAGCCGGAGGTGGAAGTCAGGTAGGGAAGGAAGAGTTCAGGGTAGAGGTGATAGGGGCAGCCCCAGAGGTGGCTGTTGTTGAGAAGGTGCCATGAACTTCCATCCTGGAAGGATAACCACGGTTCACACATTCTGTCTTGCTGCCAAATGAACAATGGTTCCCAATTTGGAGTTCAGAAAATAGGGTCAGTGGGTTGGCAGGACAAAACCCAGGGGAGAAGCTACTCTGGAGCCAAGATTGCTTGATACAAGATATGACTTCTCAGAGTAGAGCTGTCCATGAAGTATTTCCTGTGGCATTATTGAACCCACTGGCTGTTTAAAGAGAGGACAGAGAATTTAGTCATCTGAGATGCCATCTCTATCCTTTTCTTAAAGATCAAGGATTTTTTCCCCCCACCAACCTGTATTCTCTCATCTCCTACTCCAGATATTCTGCATTTTGGGTTATATTCTCTCATCTAGTTCATGTTTTATGAACAGATTATTCTTTTTTTCCCTTTAAAGTTTAATCTGGGACATGTCTGTATAACTGAGATGTGGTGTTACCACACCATGTTGATACGATTTGAATTTTAAAAAACTTGCAAGATGTTAGAATGTGCCATGTTATGCCACTTTACATATATGATTTCAACTAGGCATTTTAAAATGACGACAGTCCACAGACATCACCACCATAGTTAATTACCATTATATAGATCTAGGGAGGTAGAGACATCAGAATGGGAACTGAGCTGAGAGAGGTCTTAATGCTGAATAAGTGAGTCATTCTGGATTGACTGTTTGATTTTAGCTTGTCCTTATATCTCTAAGGTAGCCCCTCTCTTTTTGTTCCCTAAATGGTATGTAGGTTTGCCTACAGTTATTAAAATAAGCTGTCATTTGTAAAGCTCCTGCCATGTGCCAGGCACGCTATTGGACACTTGACCCTTTTTGATCTCTCTCAGTCCTCACCAGTGAATAGGAATCAGTCACTTTACAGATGAGAAAATTGAGATTCCAAGAGGGTAACTTGCCCAAGGAAAGTAACAGAGGAGGCTGGATTTCAAAACCTTTCGCCCTGACTCCAGAGCCTGTGCTCTTTCCACTGGAGAACACACTCACTGGCCCCCATCTTGGAGCACCCCTGCTTGTGAGTCTCCTGTTTCTTGGACTCTGGTGTCAGATAGTGATTCCAGGACCGGCTGTGGGGTGTCCCTGAGCATTCTGTTCCTCTATAGTACAGAGGCCTTTGTGACATTGTGTTTTCAGGAGTAGCAAAGAGCTCCTGTTACAACCTGTGACCATCAGCAGGAATGAGAAGGAAAAAGTTCTGATTGAGGGCTCCATCAACTCTGTACGGGTCAGCATTGCTGTGAAACAGGTGAGCTCACCATGGAGCCCCTGCCTCCCTAGGAGGCTGGGGATCCCCCATCTGAGAGATCAGGGTGCAAGGAGACCCAGGCTCTTATTTCCTTAAATGTACCCAGGAAACGATTTGCCAAACTCAGCCAGTCAGTAGAATAAAGAGTGAGCAACCCCATCTTGTAGTCCTTCTGGATGTATCAGCTCAGGCCATGGGCCAGTGTGGTGTCAGGTCATGGAACCATTCCTAGATAATGAACAATTAGTCCAGTTCAGAAAAATAAATAGTACCAGTACCAATTTGATAGCCGTAAATTCTGAAAGTGAGATTTATGGTAAAAAACAAAGTACAATTTCTTATGTTGCCTCAGATAACATTTTACAAATGTCTGACATTCCCACCACCTCAACAATTTTTGTCATATTTACTTACCACCTGGACAATTATTTAATAGGCTTCTTTAAATTGACTTACTTAAATTTGTTTGAAAAAGAAACTTTATGCCATAAGTATCACTTGCCAAATAGAGGGAGTCTAAAAAATAAACATAATGAAAACAAAACAGTATTACTAAGTTCAGACTAGATACTGTTGCCTACAGAAAACTCTAACCCTGGGGCCTGCTCTCTTTGTTAAAGGAGATTAACAGGTGTTGGGGGTTGTTTAGGGCATAGCAGTACTTAGCAAAATTCTTCCTATAGAAATAATGAGAGTTCGGGAGAAACTTGGGGATTCTTTGATGTTCAGTGTTATTAAAGCGGAGATTACCTAAGGTTATCTCTGATAACCCAGGTTGGGTGTATCACAAACTGGAAAATGCACCTCTAGTGAAATGAGAAAGGGAAAGGCAGCTTTGAATATAGGTGTGGACTCTGGAAGGAGCGGATAGAAGACTCAGGTTCACCAGATGAGCTCCCTAAAATGGGCAAAGATGAGATCATGAGAATGCCTTGTCAAGTTGGAGAGGCTGTAATGTTGTAGACCCTCCTTTCAGTTGGCAATCAAGTGACACATGATTCAAAGTTCAGGCAGCGATTGCTCCCAGCACCAAACCCCACTGTCTCCAGTGAGCTTGGGAGAAGTTGGGTCAGAAGACCAGGCTACAGGTTCCTGCTGGCCTAGGGTGTCAGCTTTAGGGAAATTATGTTTTTCCTTTGCTCTCACCAGGCTGATGAGATTGAGAAGATTTTATGCCACAAGTTTATGCGCTTCATGATGATGCGAGCAGAGAACTTCTTTATCCTTCGAAGGAAACCGGTAGAGGTGAGACCGTGTGATCCACGGGTTCGTAATACCCAGGATTCTATCACTGAGCCACTGTCACTGGCTGGGATTGCTGCTTCTCCAGCTGTAGGGCACCTCCCACTGCTTGAGTTGAGATTAGCCTTCATCTAAGCTGAAGTAAGGGCTTAGGAGAAGTTGGGTCTGTCCCAACCATGGAAAAGGCAAAAAAGAAGAGACACATTGCTCATCTTCCCAGAGCCATGGTCTAGCAGCAGAAAAGACACAATGAATCAGAAATCCCTTTCTAAGCTCTGCCACCAGCTGATTCGTAGTCTCAAGGCTACAGCTGACGTTGGGTCAGTTGTTGCCTGACTTTGTATTTGAGTCCTCTCCACAGACTCCCTGCCAAATTACTAAAATATCCCCAGTGACCGAGCAACTACCTTGGTGAGTAGCACACACCATCATCAAATACATTAGACGTGCTGGTTAAGCTCATCCTCATCCTGAGTGAAAATCTTTCTCCTGGTCCTAGATCTAACACCTGGGGCCACCCAGAAAGAAAAAAAAAATTGCTCTTCCACACATCTGTATCTGATAGTTAAAGACTCCATCCCATCTGTCTCCCACAGCATCTTTTCTCTGCAGACTAAATGTTCCCTGTTTGATTAGATTCTTCTGAAACAAGATTTCAGGTCCCTTCATTCTCCCTTGACTTTGAATATAACTATTTGTGCCACAGATAGTCTTCCAGAGACATCTGCTATACATAGAATTCTCGATTGGGCCCAGTTCCTTGGACCCAACAGAGCAGGCAGGTTGTTGACTGAAAGGTGTGTGGCTTGAGAGAAGGTCACAGCCAACTGGAAGCATGTGGCTGAGTGAATGCAGAGGACATGGCCAGCTAAGTGCCCCTGGGATGCTGATTTTCTCCTGTTTCTTGTCTGTCTTCCCTAGGGGTATGACATCAGTTTTCTGATCACCAACTTCCACACAGAGCAAATGTACAAACACAAGTTGGTGGACTTTGTGATCCATTTCATGGAGGAGATCGACAAGGAGATTAGTGAGATGAAGCTGTCAGTCAATGCCCGCGCCCGCATCGTGGCTGAGGAGTTCCTCAAGAATGTAAGTAGGGGTCTTCCTGGTTTCCTTCCAGAAGTAGGAGTCATGGATTGTGTTGAGAACTTAGCATCTGGCAGGAAAGTGGTACCAGTGGTGTGTAAAAATTTCCTGATGCCTGTAGGACCTCTGGTGGGTGGCAGGTTCATCTTTGAGAGCTGCCGGGCATTTTCCATATCTGGGTGTCTGGGGGACACCTCTCTTAACCTCTGATGAGGACTTAGAAGCTCATTTCTACACTTCAAAATGTACAGAGTCCATCCCTATATCTAGTTCAAACCCCTAGTGAGGCAAATTAAACCCACACGTGAATTTCGAGGATTATAGGACAGTTAGTCACAGTATAATTCCACTTCTCAGACTTAAATATTTGCCTTCAGCGTCTGTTTCTCAGGCTTAAAGTCAGGATTTCTTCAACCTGTTTTCCATCACTTTCCTGGCTTAAGTCCCGATCCCCTTTCAGTTGTCTGTGCCTTCCTAACCAAAAGGACTGCAGTCCTCTGAAGAGGAGGGATTGTAAACATTGATGAACTGATGACACAGTTGTTCTTGTTTAGATATTCAGGACATGCCTTCTTATTTTTCTTTTTCTTCTTCCAAACAATCTTTGGTTTGTTGACATGTTCCACTCAGTTGTCTGTGATCCCTAGATAGTAGATTTAGTGTTTATTCCTCCCGGTGCATACAGATCCAGCCCAGAAGGAGCTCAGATTCCTAAAAATGGAAATTACACCCGCTTCCCCTGGGCTTTAATTATACTGAGGGCAGCCAGCGTGCAAAGTAGCTGTAGTGTACGCAAAGGGTAATGTGCTTGTTCAGATCACACAGGCTGTGGGGTCAGGCAAGTTGGGTGTGAGTTGGGTGTCACTGCCTACTCGAGCATGGTACTGAACCTCTCAACTAAGCCTGAGTTTCCTCAGCAGTGAAATGAGTAGACTGTGATTAATATGACCCTTTCAGTGTGGCTGAACATTAAATGAGGAAAGGTATGGAAAGCATATTTTTTGGCACGTAATAAGTGTTGTATGTATTATAGGACCAAAGTTTATGGCCAGGGCACTAGGAAGCCTTTGGATTCAACTGTGAAGAAAAATAGTTCTTGTCCCAATTTAATAGTTAGCTCATTCATTCAGCAATCATTTCATTTTTATGATAATTACATTTCTGTAGCTGTACAGCTTTAAAAAGCACATTCCCATGTCTCGTTTACTATCTAAACCATCCTTGAGGCAGGTGTTATCCCCACTTTACAGATGAGTATACTGGGGCTCTGGAAGTTAAATCACTGCCGGTGTCCCTCAGCCAGGAAGTGGGAGAACCAGGACTTGGGGCGAGGTTTCAGACTGAGAGATCTAGGATAGTACCACAGCATCTGGCAGGGGTCACAGGCTCACATGCAGGTGATGTACATGAGTGAAGTGGGATGTGCTGGGGGACCTAGTGAGCAGCACCTGCCTCACCTAAAGAGGACCTCCACCACACAGGTCATCTCCCAGTTTTTCAAAAGAATCCCCAAATCTGGATTTGTATACGGAGTATCTCTTATTTTCAAGGTTGGCAACTAATTCATATTCTCTTAAGCACTGTGTGGGCCAGACAGTGCTCGTCTTTGGGCTGGGTTCAGCCTGTGGGCCATTGGCCTCCAACCTCTGGTCAGAAAATGTCCAGAGCTGTTCTAGGCACCATGGGTGATCCTGATGGCAGAAAACATTTCACGGGCCTGTCCTGGTTGCAGGATCACACAGAGCTTGACATGAAGTACTCAGTCCTCGGAGTTGCCAAGCCCTTGCATCTCTAAGGAGGGCAGCCTGCTCACTAAGTAAGGCACTGTGACAGGGCTTTATAGCAGCCTCCATGACACAGCCAAAGGGAGCTGTGGAAATCTCGTACCACACTTAATTTCTCTGCTTTGTCTAGTGCTAGGTTTAGGGCCGGTGCCCCAAAGGTCACTGCTGAATCGGGCTGAATTAGGAAGAATGTGCCCACAGGGGTGTCCTGGGATTCAACCCTGCTGCTCAGAGATCTCAGCACAGTAACAGCTCTCAGATCAGCCCACCTCCCTCAGCAGGCCTTCCAGGATACAGCAATAATCATCATTCACCGCCTCTTGGTTCTCTTGACAGTTTTAAACCATCTGACTGGATCTCGAGGCCTTCCCCCTCAGGCTCCCCGGTGTCTCTGCAAAGGCGTCCTGGAGTTACTTCTCAGAGCGGCAGCAGCGGAAGCAGCGGAGGGGAACTGGGTTGGGGGTGGGCATTAGATGTGGGAGGTGGGTGGTGCGCTTGCTAGCTGGCAACAAAGCAGCAGTGGACCTGCCCCAAAGGCCACATGTGCCTGGTCAGGCTGGCTTCTGATGTTTAGTCCCCTGGGCCGGGACAGATTTTTTTTAACGTCTTGAAAATTTAAACTCTGTGCTTGTAGAAGACTGTAATCTTTTTGTCTTTTTTTTTTTTTAAAAAAACAACCTCCACCTCCAGTGGCTGTGACTGGTCCCAGTGATTGTACCTTATTGGTCGCTGTGGGTCTGGGCGGGCCTGGAGCCAGAAGGCGACTACTGTTCCTCCCCCAAGCCACCCCAGGTGGGGAGGGAGGGAGATTTCAGACTCCAGTCCTCTCCCTCGTCCTCTCATTCTCAAGCCTCCTTGGGCCCATTAGAAGCGGTGGCCTGCTTCCTGAGCTCTGCCTGAAGATGGCCGCCCAGCACTGGTTGGGGACAAGGACTGAACCAGTGGCCACCAGACACGCCTAGAAGCTAGGGCCCGAAAGCCAGGCAACCTCTGGCTGCAGAGGCCGCTTCATGCCCCCCACAGCCGAGAGGGGCCACTGTTTCGCCTTGTCTGTAAGTGCAGTGCCTGTGCTAGAGGTGGAGAGGTGAGTCCTATGAGATTCCCGGCTGGGGCCCTCCCACCTGCTCTGGCTTCTCTGCTCCCACGCTCGCTGTAACTTTTCTTATTCCAGTGGATCCTCCCAACCCTAATTAAAGTCTCTTCTTGCCCCTTCGGGGCTGCATGAGGTCTGTGCTCTGTGTGCATATGTGAAAGGAGGGGAGATGGGGCTTTTTCTTCCCTAAGACCATGTGGCTGGTACTTGGTACCCACTAGAGGCAGTCTCATGATTGGTCCCTGACACCCCTGCCAACGGTCCCAGTCCAGAGATCTCCATGGCAATCGAGACACCACTGATTTCTGAAACTGCACTCTGCCTATGGAGAGCTTTGGTCCTTTTCAACTAATGAGTTCATTTGGGCTAAAAGGTAACCTCAGGGAAATAATGATCCCATTTGGCTAAGGATACTGAAGTTCCATGAGCTGTAGCAGCTTGCCCCAAATCTAGCCAGTGAATAAGAGAGTAGACTTCAAATCCAAGACATCTGCCTCTGCCTGTGCTAAGGTGCTAATCAGTAGCCCATGTGTGGCTGATTACATTTAAATTATTCAAATCAAAGTTTAAAATTCAGTTCCTCGGTCCCACCAATGACATTTCAGGTGTTTATTATCTGCAAGTGACTAACGCCTACTATGTCAGATGGTACATATATAGAACATCTCCACCGTTGCAGAAAGCTCTGTTGGGCAGTGCCAGGCTTGGTGACACCTTGAAGTAAACAAAAACACTTGTGTTTGGGCCGGCCGAGTGGCGTGATGGTTAAGAGCTGGCTTAGGACGCCAGAGGACCTCGGTTCGGATCCCACATATGAGGGCCAGTGACACTGCCCTCTATAGCTAAGATGCTGAACAACAGCTCAACCTGGAGCTGGGCTGCCGTGAGGCAACGGCGTAGGCTGCAGCCCCTACTGCAGTGGGTTGCTGTGGGCTACCGTGTGTAGCCAGCAGCCAGCGTGAGCAGCCATCCAGAAGCCTGCGACTGATCTGCCTCGCCTGGGAAGAGTGCAATGATGGTGCCAACTTGGGCCAGTGAAGCAATGTCCTCCACAACTAGACTGAAGAACAAAACAACAGCAACTTGTCCGTTCCCCTTCCTCCCAATTCCCCAATAAAAATCTTTAAATAGAACAAAAACTTGTGTTTGAGTCCTGACTCTTGCTGCTGAATTTGAGAAAGCTATTTTTTTCTGTGCCTCCGTTTCTTAATCTATAGAGATATGAATGTAAACAATCTGACACAGTACCTGCCATACAGGTATTAAACAATAGCTGGTCTTTCCACCAGCCCAATATCCAAGCTGTTTGATAACTTCCATCATGCTAGACACTAAGGACGGCATTATCCCTGTCTTGGAAAGACTTGGGGGATTAGCGCACTGAAGTGTTTCATATTCACTAATGGAAGTCTGGAGGTCCACAGGGCATATATTTATGGGAAGAAGGTGTCAGGAAAAGTTTCAGAAAGGTTTGCCTTTGAGCTGAGCTTTCTGAAGAGTGTCTTCCAGATGGCCAAAGGGATCTCTTAAAGTGGAGGACAAGGTAATGGAGGCGGGACTGGGGCTGGGGGCCACTTGGACAGCTATCATCCCCTTTATGACATTACTTGTGACCTCCCCCTGCCGCCTTGCAGAATTAGGTGTGCCCTCTGGGGCAAAATGTTGTGTTGCAGCTTTACAGTGAATGTTAAAGGTGCTCACGGTGAAGCTGATGTCCACTGGAATATGGCAGCTGCTCACTCAGCCACAGGATTACATTGCCTGGGTGAACCAGCCAAAAGTCATTTGTCATGGGTTGGTCTCCCAGGATCCAGAGCCCCTAAAACCAAGTTTGCTGGCTGATAAGAACAGATTGGATGATTGCCAATCAGCCAGCCATCTCCTGAGGGCCATGCCTTTAGGGAAGCCCACTACCAGTCAAAGTGGGGTTGTGAAGGATGATCTCAGTGGTTGGGGTTGGCTGGACAGCTAGGTGGAGAACACATCTTCACTGAATGGGCAGACCTAGCTAGTGACTACACAAAGCTGGTTTCTTGAACCAGGATCCTCTTTTCCCTGGACTGCTTAAATGGGCACTGCTAGAGTTTGCCTCTCAAACTGCCTGTGTTTCAACGACTAATAGACAACCCTTATGAGCAATAACATGGACTTAGGTTTAATAGTGTTTGAGTGGGGCTTTGGAGTGAGACCTGTATTTCAGTGCTGGCTCTGTTGTGTGATGAAGCAAATTATTTAACATCTTGGAGCCTTATTTATCTCACTTGGGACTTTTGAGGATAATACTTTGCCATTCCCTCCAAAAAGTTTACTTAATCTTGTTTTGAGGGCTGTGCATAACTGTTCAATTACAGTTTTTCTGCAGTTGATTCAAACGATCTGTTTGTTTTTTTTTTTAATTGGGGAATTGGAGGGGGAAAGCATTGGGGAATCGGGAAATTGGGGGAGGGGAACAGACAAGTTGCTGTCCTTTTGTTCTTCAGTGTAGTTGTGGAGGACATTGCTTCACTGACCCATGTTGGTGGTATCATTGCGCTCGTCAAGATGAGGCAGATCGGTTGCGGCACTGGACGGCTGCTCATGGCAGCTCTTGGCAGCTCATGCTGGCTGCCAGCCACTCATGGTAGCTTATGGCAGCCCACTGCAGCAGGGGCTGCAGCCTGAGCCATCACTGGCGACTCATGGCAGCCCAGCTCCAGGTCGAGCTGTTGTTCATCATCTTAGCTGTAGAGGGCAGTGTCACTGGCCCTCATGTGGGATCTGAGCCAGTGCCCTGCCGCTCAGAGCTGGCGTCCCAACCCAACTCTTAACCAACACACCAACGTACTACTCGGTGGTTCACGATGATCTGTTTTTCTATTTCCAAGTTATTGCGGGATTTGGGTGGGAAGGAGTACGCTCTGTGTTTTATCATTATTTCCCCTATTGCATTCTGTAGGCCTCAGCTTAAATGTTACCTGTTTAAAGGACATCGTGGTGCCCCATTCCTGGTTTTAGTTTATTGCCCTTACCATACCTTCAGCTGTTTTATTCCTTTGTTGCTTGCTTTTTGTTTCCCCTCCACTGGGCTGTAAACTCCTTGAGGTCAGGGACCACCTATAGCTTGTTCTTCTGTCCCAGCACCTAGCCCACTGCCTAGCCCACGGTCCTTTATAAATACTGTGGGATGACTGAAGCTCCAGGAAGTATTCCACAAGGAACCTTCCCCCTGATAGTAAGTGGTATGTAGCTCAGTGATATGCGATTCCACCTATAGTGCCCTGCTCATCAAGGATGGGGCAGGTGAGGCCCGGAGTTCGGCCAGCGGGAGAGAGCCTCGGAAACAGCCAACCGCAACCTGATAGTGGCGGGGAATGGTTTCCAAGGCGACAATAAACAGAGGGCGGAGCCTCGGAACTGAGGGCCCAGCTCTGGCAGCTCAGCACTGGCCTCTACAGGGCCCTCCCCAGAGAGGCGGCGGCGCGCAGCGCGGGGAGGGTGCGCGCGGCGAGGGGCGCATGCGGGGCAGCTGCGCGGTGCTGGTCCTGAGTGCGGGGGAGGTGGGGGCCGCACACCCGGATTCCGCTACCTGGTGCAGCCATAAGGGCGGCCCGCTGTGCCGCTGGCTGCGGAAATCGCAGCCGCGGGAGCCACGAACCAGTTCCCCAGTCTCATGGACCTGGGCGCGCCACTCTGAGTTCCGGCCTCTAGGGACTCTGCGATGGCCCAGGCCCGCCTCCGCCCTGCCGGACGGGGCTCACGCAGGAGGCAAACGCTCGGATGGCAGTCCCGCCTCTGCGCGCTGCCTAGACGGTGCCTTCGAGTCGCTCGCCCACGGCACCCACGCTCAGTGCGCCGCGGAGCTACGCCTCATCAGGCCCCCGCACACCCGGGCCTTGGATGATGCCCTGCCGCAGGACAGTGAGTCCCACTGCGGTCCACCTATCCTGGCCCCAGGCGACTGCGGCGAGAACGAGAAGACTTGGGGTGGAGGGAATGGGGGTCAGGAGAAGAGCGATAGAGGGTGGGCATCCAGAAGAAGAGTGGAGAGAGAGGAGCTTGGGCATCGGGGACCGGGAAAGACGGTAAACCGAGCCCCCAGCCCACCTCACCCTCACTCCGTATCTTTCTGCAGGTTCCCTTATCCACTGGCCAGGATTCTCCAAGGCGTCTCACCACATGGGCCGGCTCAGAAACGCCAGGATCCACGTGGAGAGAGCTGTCAAGGTTGGAGGGAGCTGTGTGTGTGTGTGTGTGTGTGTGTGTGTGTGTGTGTGTGTGTGTGGCGGTTTTAGAAAGGTCCCTGAGAGTGGCTCAACCTGCCTCCCTGAACTATTTTATTCCATCCTTAAAAACAAACCAAAAACCCAAAAACCTTGATCCCACACCCATTTTTAAATACCTCCCTATATTTCCATACCCCTACACTTGGCAGACTTGTCTACTTCTTTATCTGGGATTCACTCCTCAGCTCCCGCCACTCTGCTTCCGTGCTTGTCCCCACACCCACTGGGAACCACGCTAGTCAAGGTCGCTAGGGACCTCCAAGGAGCTGAGTCCAGCAGCCTCTTTTCTGTCCTAATATTGGTCCGGCACCCTGTGTCATCGTTGCACCACACACCCTTCCCTTTTGGCTGCCTGCACACTCCTAGTTTTCCTTTCTCCCGTCCCTCGCTGCTGCTTTTCAGTTGCCTTTGAAGGCTCCTGGGACTTTCATGGTTCCCTGGGTCCCTCCCCATGCCTGTCTCCTTGGCTGTAAGTCCAGACAGTATGTTGTGCCCTCTGCATACCCTTTCCGGCCCAGCCTGTCCTCTGACTCCACGCTCAGTAGATCAAGCCCCCTGCTTGACATCTCCACCCAGAGAACATACAAGCATGTCCGTGTCTCAAACCATGCTCTTGATTTTCCTGCCTAAACCTGTCTTCACTATTGTCTGGTCTGGCCTCCATCTCTCAGTTGCTCAAGCCAGAAATCTGATCTTTCTGTTTGCTCACCCATACATCTACTCCCATCAGCAAAGCTAGTCATCTCTATTTCTAGAACAAGTCTCAATTCTATCACCTTCTCCCCATCTCCACTGAGGCCACCCTCATTCTAGCTATTGTGATTTTTCTCCTACACAAACTACAACAGCCTTCTAAACTGGCCTCCCTGCTTCCATCCTTGTCCCTCCATCTAATCTCTGTATAGCAGCAAGCCAAACTTACAAAGCCTCCAGTACTGTCATTCCCTCACTTCACCTTTAGTGCTTCACGCTGCTGTTGATATAAAACCCAAGTTCATTTCCAAGGCCTGCAGGGCCTTTAACAGTCCTGCCATGCACTACGTCCTCAGGAGCGCTTCCCTTATTTCCACCCTCACCCTGGCCTCCTCCCTGTGTACTTGGACCTCTATCCAGCCTCAAGACTTTTGCATGTGCTTTTCACTTTGCCCGAACTGCCATTTCCCAGCTCTGTAAATTCATTGCTCCTTTTGCACCTTCCCTGGTCATATATGCATTTCTCGTTTTCCCGGATCCCCATTAAGTATCCAGTTTTTAGAGCCAGTCATCCTGCTCTTTCATTTATTCACTGTGTGGCCAAGCTACTCAACTTCTCTATGGCTGTTTAATAACCAGTTAAATGGGGGATAGTAGCATCTATTAAAAATACATGTTATTGGGCCGGCCGAGTGGCTCAGTTGGTTAAGAGCTCGCTCAAGAGTTTGAGCTCTGAGCAACAGCGGTTCGAGTCCAGCCCGAGCTGAGCAGC